TTCCTCGCTCATATAAAGCTGCAAACTAAAGTTTGTGTCCATGAAATCGGTCATTAAACCACCGAAATCGACACGCAGCGTGTTCTTAACGACGTCGGCGTTTCTCGTCGTCCGCCATTAATTCCTCCAGTTGCTTAATTATGCTAGCAAGCTGGGCTAGCTTGCCTTTACGTGTATTCAGAATCCTGTTTTTTTTATCTTCCATGCCCTTTTCTGTCATATTTACAACTCGTTTCCTTTGTGGCTCTTGCATGTTAGCTTAAATCTTTCACATCCATATTAATTAGTGAACTTTGCGCACGTAGCTTTTCAATGAATTCCACTGGTCTTTTTCAGTTTTAACTGTCACACGGCCAATCCGTAGCAGTTTTTAACTTACAGTTGTTGTTTCCTTCGAATGACAAGTCTCCAAATCCATGTAGGGGTGTTCTTCTTTCGTTGTCCTTATCATCCGATCGGGTTTTGGTATCCAGTAATCCGTTTAGAGCAAGTTCTTTTTACTAAAAATTCGGGTTCTTGCTATCCTTATTGGAGCTTTAGCTTGATGCTCGTCAGACTCCGTTGTATCCAAAAACTCAGAAAAATAAATACGCTAGTCCGCTTCCTGTTTTTAACTGTTTACTAAAAAACTTTACGCAGCATTTCAAAACATAAATTATATTTCCAAAATTAAATCTTTTAAAGTCCAACGGAGCCTGGGAAGGGCGAGGTCAAAAAACAATTGTGCTCCACTCTCCTTCAGATTCCAACTGACCACGCTCTCCTGGCATGAAGGTAAATCACAAATAAAAAATATTCCAACTAAAATGAACTGCATTTAGGCTCCTACACACTTAGAAGTAAAAATTGAACTTGACAAAGATGCCAACCCAAGATTCCACAAGGCGTGCCCTGTGCCGTATGCAGTAGATAGAAGCAGAACTTGGAGGCATCCGGCATTCTCTCAAAAGTTGACTGGAGTGACTGGGCTATGTTCCTGTCATGAAGAAAGGCAAAAGTGAAGTGCATATATTTGGGGACTTCAAAGTGAGCATCAACCCGGTGCTGCGCATAGTGCAGTACCCCCTTCCACAAATCAAAGACATCTTCTCATCATTGGCTGGTGGGGAGAAGTTTTCAAAGATCGACTTGTCACAGGCCTATCTCCAGATGGAAGTGGAGGAGTCAAGCAAAAAGTTCCTAACCATCAATACACAAAAGGGACTTAACCAATCGTCTTGTGTTTGGTGTTGCTTCAGCCCCAGCCATCTGGCAAAAAGCCATGGAACAGTTGCTCCAGGACAAGAGAGAGAAATGGGAGTTTTTCAAAACTGAAATTTCATAATGCAGTCATGTCACCGACAAGCAAGGCTTGCATCAGTCACAAGAGAAAATCGAGGCAGTGCTAAAAGCACCTAAACCTGAAAATGTGTCACAACTCAGATCGTGTATGGGTCTCGTCAACTGTTACCACAAGTTTCTACCAAACCTTGCCTCAGTGCTGTATCCACTAAATGCGCTACAACAGACTGGAGTGAAATGACATTGGTCAGAAAAATGTAAAAAGGCATTCACAGAAACAAAAAGACTAATAACCTCTGACAAGCTTCTTACCCACCATGATCCATCCTGACCCATCCGTCAGTGACGCGTCCCGAACGGCATTGGCGCAGTCTTGTCACACAATGTACAATGGACTTTAACGCCCAATCGCATTCGCTTCAAGGTCCCTCTCAAGTGCCGAAAACAATTATGCACAGATAGACGGGGAGGACCTTAGCCTAGTATGGGGTATCAGAAAGTTCCACCATTACCTCTATGGCCGAAGGTTTACCTTAGTGACTGATCATCAGCCCCTAGTGTAAATATTTAATCCAAAGAAAGGAGTCCCACTTATGTCAGCCGCACGACTACATCTATGGGCCCTGTTCTTAGGAGCACACTCGTATGACATCGAGTTCAAGGGGAATAAACAACATTGCAATGCTGATGGTTTGTCACACCTCCCACTCTCAACATCTGTGGAAGAATTTTCCACACAATACTGGTGGACCAGTTGCCAGTTAGAAATGCCATGATACGAAAAGAAACGGGGAATGACCCAACACTTTCCAAGGTGTATGACATCACAGTACAAGGTTGGCCTACCCATGGGAATCCATGTTTTCCGGAGTTTTCAGCAAGACGTGATCAGCTCTCAGTCTGCCAGGGAAAAAACCTTCCCTCCACCCCGAACTTCTCATCAACAGCTCCGCAGCTCAACTCTGTGAAGTTCCTGGGCACTACCATCACCAGTGACCTCAAGTGGATGACACACTCATCCAAGGTAATCAAGCGAGCACATCAGAGGATGTTCTTCCTCAGATTACTCTGCAAGATTAAAGTTTCTCCAAGGTTCGTTCCAGTTTTTATAGAGCCACCATTGAGAGTTCCCTCACCTCCTCCATCCCTGTGTGGTACCCTGCATCCTCTGCCCACATCAAGAGTGGACTGGAGCGCATTGTGCGCACAGCGAGCCACATCACAGGCCTCTAAACAGATTCTGGCAGAGGGCTAGGAGGATAGAGGAGGACCCATCTCACCCAGCTCACTCCCTGTTCACACCCCTCCCATCAGGTCAAATGTTCAGATCAATAAGGACCAAAACTACCAGGCACCCTCTTAAATAAGGACATCTCAGCACTCCTGCCACTTCTACAGACAGCTAAGGATACAGTCACCAAAAAAACCCATAACATAACATATGTACGTTTTCACTATTTTCAAATTTGTTATTTAAATTGTCCTGTTGCGCTGGGATATCAGGTCAAATTCCTGTGAACATTTGGTCAATCAAGCTATTTCTGATTCTGATTATCCCCCTGAACTGTACACAACACATGACACTGAATCTCATGTAGTCACTATTTCGTTAAGGTCACATTATCCTGCACATAATGGCTACACATGTCCATTGTGCCAGGGTTGGACTGCCTCCCTCAACCCTTTCCATGATTGGCCTCCCACTGTTGGTCTTTTTGGTCAGCTCCTCTGCAGGTGTAAAGACATCAGGTGCCTTCCCTCCACCTGTACACTTCACACTCTTTTCTCGTTAGCTGGAAAGAAATATGCCATCAACAGGCAACTTTGAGCATATATCTTTTTAATCATGTTATTTTTATAATTTACATTTTTTTTAGACATAGACATGTTTAACGGTACCACCAGCTTGTTGAGGGAAAAAGGATGTAACACAAATACCAGATTTTCTTAGTAATAACAAAAAGTTATTTAGTAACAAAGAAAAATTAAATGAATGAATACAAAAGCGGCAATAAAATACCAAAAAAAGAAGCAAAAACAACTGCTTTAAAACTAGCGTATCCTAGGCAGTACAAAACACCTCAAACCATGACAGAATTATTCAAAACAGACCAACTAAAATCAAAGTACCACAGCACAGTTTCAAAACATCCATCCATTTTCATAACAGCTTATTCCCTAATGGGGTCAAGGGGGACTGAGGCCTAAACCAGTAGTGAATGCTTGAGAGCCGGGGTACACCGGCCTAGACGGTCCGCCAGTCCATTGCAGGGCCACACAGAGATGAGCAACCACACACACCCACTCCAAAGGGCAATTTGGAATGTCCAATGAAGCTAACATGCAGGTTTTTGGATGATGGGAGGAAGCCAGAGAACTTGGAAAGAACCCATGTAGACACAGGGAGAACATGCAAACTCCACAAAGAAAGGTCCTGGTTCCCTCGAGGACTCGAATCCCAAACCCTTTTGCTGTGAGGTGATGGTGCTAATCAACACACCACGTGCTGCCCTGTTTTAAAACAGTATCCTCCAAAGTTACACAGAGATGGGAGCAGGGCACCAAAAATATGCTCCACCGTTCTACAGGAAAAGAAGTTGGAGCTTGTGGGAGCCACAAGGAGAGAGAATAGCTGACAATTCCATTTTCTCTGAGGAAGTTCATTCCTTTCACAGAGAGTTGAGAAGAGGGGTTGCCCAGCATCAGTAGGACTTTTACACCCACTGAGGCCTTTGTGTGGTGCTGGAAATGTTTCAGGAATTGTAGGAAATTTTCCTCAAGCATCCACCCAAAAGGATTTCCAGCTCTAATTAATCCAGGTGGGCCATTACAGATTAAATGGTCTTTAAAATTGGACATGGAGAAAGATGAAGAGAGGTGGAATCTTGCTCTCCAATGCATTGGAGCCACTGTCACAAGTGTCACTCTCTTTCTGGATAATGCTGACCCTACCTGTTTGATGACCCGCTTGGCAACTCCATGATGTGGTTCTTGTACAATTTAAAAAACATTCTCTTCTGCATTTGTTAACTTTTATTTATTTGTTCATTATTTTTATTGTACACAACTACCATCTTTAAACTAGCTATGCTAGCTTAAAGCATTTGTTTTGGCCCATGGTGCCTAATGCATAATTGTGCTGTGTAGAATCCAGACCTGTGTACAGATTTCCAGTGCAAGCATTAATGTTCCTTAAAGTTCTGGTACTAAACTCCACCTTCTTAATGGAAAAAAATAAAATTTGTTGTGATAATATTGGCCCGATACATGGTAATGTTCTTTCGAGGTCAATGGTTGAAATGGAAGGTTTTTCTTTGCAAACACAGCAGATCATACCTCATTATACCAACAGCTACAGTCAAAAGAAAAAAGTTTGACATAATTCCTGTCCCTCTATGATGTACTGTATTCTTTAAAACATCAAATTATCTATTTTGCATCTATTTCAGGTGATCCTTCATTACTCCAGTATATATTTTAGTTATCTTTTAATTGATCAAAGCTAAACAGATAAAAAATTAGATAAATGTTTCTGGCTCCATGTGCATCCACATATAAAGTTATTTCTTTCATTATTATTTTTAAACAAGTCGGTTAGATTGTGGTGATAGAACGTATTGGTCTTTTCTGGATATATTTATTGGTAATGGCATTCTTTCATCTTTGATCACACTGAAATTATAACAATAAAATAAGTCATAGTAGGAACAAAGTGTATACAAATGATTTCATTTTATTATTTTTCCATGCAAATAATTGTTCTTTTAAATACAATGACAAGTTAATTTAACAATTTTAAATACATTCTTACGAAAAACAAATACCTGACTTGTAACACTAACCAGAGCTCCAGAAAAACCCAAGCATGTAGTTCTTCAACTTTCAACCAGCACTTTGAACCACCAATAGATTGTATTTTTTTCAAGGTTTAAATACAGAATTTACTTTCAAGTTTGAAAACATGAATCAGCAACACTTGAAAAAAACTAAACAAAAACATTTCACTTGAAAAAAAAACATTACTGAATCTCAGGTTTGACAGGTCACATCAGGAGCAGGACATGTATGGTTCTGTATGTATGCAATACCAATTTAAAAACGAAAAGATCAAAACATAACCTTTTGTCTGTTAGTTGATCACAGCTTTATAAAACACAGGTACAAAGCTGATTGTTGACCTTTATTAATGTCTTCCAAGGAACCGATGATAACATTTGCTGCAGGTGGATGTTCTTTAATCCAGGCGGATTTGCTTAAAGTAAATCCTATGGAGTGATGTTATTTACTTACGTGAAATATAATCCTTGTAAAACGTAAAATCCATCACAAGTAAGCCAAAGGAAGACAGAATTTGAATGCAGCATACTAAAAGATCATAAAAATTAAAATAAGCATTCAGGACAATTCTGAGACCCTAAAAACATAAAGTATGATTTTCTATGAAACCCACATTTAGTTCTTATCATGAGCCAGTCTGGAAGACGACAACCAAATTAGGACCAACTCTTGTGAACCATCTCATGCCAGTGCATGAGTGCTTTTTTCTGAGTCTTGGAGACGCTTTTCTTTGCTTCAAATCGCTGTCCACCCACGTATGAAAATATCCGTTTGTGGTTTGTGTTCATATGTCCACTATGTCACAATTAAATATGCATTTTTGCTTTATGCAAGACTGGTTGTTTATTAAAAAAGGTTCTGATATGACTAAAACTGGCATTCACTATCTATTTTCCATTTCACTGGTAAAACTCAAGTTTCTTCAGTTCTTCAACTTCCATTCAAGTCGATGCAACCAAATGTTTCATTGAGGGCTTTTTTTTAAACCCTTCTGTATACTGACAAATAGATTACAAAGAACTATAGAGCACCCCATTGATCAGTTGGTGGAAAATCATTTACTTCCCCCAATTCTGTGAATGGCTGCTCTTCCAACATGAAAGTCAATTTGTATCTCATCCGAACCTTTTCCTGGAAGAAGTAAAAAAGTACAAGCATGACCTAAAGCAGGCTAAAACAAGTGCAGAAAAAGGAATTAATCACCAAATGCAAAAAAAAAGGGCAGAAACACCTCAGACAGAGAAGTACCTTGAGAGGATTGGTAAGCAGCACAACCTGAGTGATGGCAGGAGGCGGAAGAATTGGATTAAATTGAGCCAGCTCTGTCCCTGAAGGTGGCTGCAGCTTCACTTTCATTGTCTGGAAATCATAAGAATAATCACAATCAAAGCAAACACAAGAAACTTGTATTAACAAATGGACCAAACACAGGCAACATTCTAATTTCAACAATTACACTGATCCATTATTAAAACAACGAGCAGTGTCGACCATATATTTCATTTCTGCCTTCATTAAAATAACCTTTTCAAGTATTTGGAACAGTAGAGATAGGTCTGTTAGTGAAAATTTTCCATTCCATCCATCAATTGTCCACCGATTAATGAGGTCAGGTCGCGGTTGCAGCAACTTGAGCAGGGAAACCCAGATTTCCCTCTCTCCTGCCACTACAGCCAGATCTTCCTGGGAAATTACAAGGCGGACTCAGGCCAGCCAAGATACATAGTCCCTCCCCCGTGTCTTTGGTCTTCTTCTGGGTCTCCTACAAATGGGACATGCCCAAATGACCTCACCAAGGAGGTGTCCGGGAGGCATCCTTATCAGAGGCCCGATCCATCTTAGTTTCCTCCCATTCTTCCCAACCACACCCCTCCAAGTATCACTGTCATTGCCCACATGAGCATTGAAGTCCCCCAGTAGAACAAGAGAGTCCCCTGGCGGGGCGCTCTCCTGCACTCCCGCCTAAATAATAACAAACGTAACAAACCTTTCACCGCTGGAAGGTGAAGGGAGGCTACCCTCTCTTTCACTGGGGTGAACGCCAATGTACAGGCGCCAAGATCTTTAGCCCCCACCCCCCCCATTCTTTAGTTTTGAGAAACTTTGGTGTTGCCTTAACATGATATTTGGCTAAGATGAACCTATTTAGTGGAACTATTACTTAAAATCAAAGTTGGTAATCTACAATTTTATTATGTCTGTATTTAGAGGATTTAGAATTTCACAGAGAGACAGAGAGGGTAAAAAGTAATATTGTACCAATTTTTATGGAGGGCTCTGTATGATAAAACATTGTGTACTGTGATACTTAATTTTTACCCTGGGCACAGCCGCCTGCAGAACAATGTTCCTGACTGGCTGTGGAGCTGTGCTGAGCATGGATACCACAATGACTAGAACGTCAGGCCTGCCTGGTGGACAGTTGCTGGCAAAATGTAGCAGAAGACGAACACCATTTTTGTCATATGCTGTCACAGGGCACACTTTACCTACAAAACAAAGCATAATAGAAAAAGGTCCATTACCAGCAGAAAAAGGTCTTCACCAGCAGAACAATACCCCGGACATACACTGACATTAAAGTCGAATTTATATCTCATGCTGTTCTCAGTGTGATCCATTTTAATAAAGAACCAATGTTTTGCTCAGAACATTTTTGCTCCCTTCAAACCACATAAAACAAGTCAATGATAAATGTTGGTAAAATAAAATCTAATCTTCTTTTATTCTTTCAGTGAGTTTGACACACCACTAAGTGGCATTTAAATCCAACAATCAGCTTTAAAACCACCAATCATCCATTCATCCATCAATTATCTGTAGAAATTATTTCCAACTGGGTAGCAAAGTGCAAACCCATCTGAAAACGGGCGGGAGGCGGGGTACACCATGGACATCTCGCTAGTCCATCGCAGGGATACACAAAGACCAACAACCACACCCATCTGAAAACGGGCGGGAGGCGGGGTACACCATGGACATCTCGCTAGTCCATCGCAGGGACACACGAAGACCAACAACCACATACACTCATATTTACTACAAGTGGCAATTTCGTGTGTCCAATTAACCTAACATGTATGTTTTTGGACAGTGGGAGGGAACTGGAGGACCCGGAGGGAAACGAAAAAGACTAAGGGAGAACATGCAAACTCCACACAAAAATGTCCTTGTCCCTGGGGACCAGTAACACTCTTGCTGTGAGGCAACAGTGTTAAACCGTGCCATCAGCTACCAGTCAATCAAAGAAAAGTGTTTTTTTTTACCCAGAAACCCACATGCCTTCAAATGATAATTTAAAATAATTTCAAACATGACATGAGACTAACTTATGTCAGTGGAATAAGATTTAATAATATATCATGTTATATTATGATGAGGGCGGCACGGTGGTGCGGTGGTTAGCACTGTCGCCTCCCAGCAAGAAGGCTCTGGGTTCGAGTGCCAGGGGACCCAGGACCTTTCTGTGGGGAGTTTGCATGTTCTCCCTGTGGGTTCTCTCCGGGTACTTCGGCTTCCTCCCACAGTCCAAAAACCTGTATCTTAGGTTGATTGGATATTCCAAATTGCCCTTAGGACTGAGTGTGAGTGTGCATGGTTGTTTGTCCTTCTATGTCTTGTGTGTGGCCCTGCGATGGACTGTCCAGGGTGTACCCTGCCTCTCATCAATTGACTACTGGGATAGGCTCCAGTTCTCCCCGCGACCCCATTAGGGAATGAGCGGTAACAAGTGAAATAAAGGAAAAACATTTTGGCCCGTGTTAATTTTGAGATGTGAATTTCTTTCTTTGATGACAAGTCACTTACAGCTCGGCTTGGCCGTTAAGCTCTTCTTGTCACTATAGAAGTGAAAAGATGTTGAACTGACTTCCAAAATGTAGTTAAATGTATTCCTTTTGGAACTCACTTGGCTTGATGGCCTCCAGAGGGACAAACACTTGAGTCAGAGAATCCTCTTGTCGCCTGCCAGGACTGGCTTGGTCCAGAAGGAGAATCGGGGACAGAGAGCGTAACAGAGGTCCGGCATCTGCATGGCTCTTGGTAGTTGATGGAGAAGGCAATCCTCGCTCCACTCCTGTGATCAGTGAGGAAGATGACGTGGTGGTAGCACCAAGACTGGAAAGGAGCAGCAGGAGCAATCAGAATCTCACTTAGTTTGTACAAGAACAGGGATATGCATCCTCTGTGACATCATCAGCCGCCATTTAAAATTAAGTTTGAACTTCCTTACAAGCATTACATAAATATACCTTTGGCGTATAGTATTTAATAATATTAATTTTAAATAATCCCAACTGATCAGAGGGAATGAATACAACTTGTGGGAAATATTATAGGCTCATTTTAACAGGAGAAAAATTCCCAGAAATATCCAACAGTGATGTGAACACTCGAGGGACAATTCCTTCAAGGTTTATGGGACATTTTCAGAGTTGTCATAATTTTAGAAGCTATTGAAGACATATACTTAAGATTTCCTCCAAAGACAGATGAGGTTTTAAACATTTATTCAGATCAGCCAGTACTATTTTGAAAACAAGAACCGTTAATTGATTACTACAAATTATAAGCCACAGAGCAAAACATTTATATGAAACAGATGAATGGAAGAACACAGTCTATTCAGTTTTATCTCATAGCACATTAATTACTCACTCATTACTCATAAGATCCAACATGGCAAGGTCTTGCAAAGTGTGACTGAGAGAGTAAGGTAAGTCGAGTGGTCCTGGTACAGTGCCAGCCTTTTGCGAGGTCGCCAAATGCTCAGGTGAAGTCATGCTGAACAACTGAGGAAGAGGAGCTGGAGCCATGGCGGTTGGTGCTGAATTCAGAGGTTGTGGGAAAATGGCCGTCCTTGTAGCAGGGGGAGGTGTGGGAAACACAGGGCCAGGGAAACTTATGGTAGAGGCAGCTGTAGATGTTTTGGTAGGATCATTTACAATGAGGGAATGTGTTGAGTGGATTGGAACTGTGGGCATACTGGAGCCAAAAACATCCAAGTCTGGACTGGAGCCCTAGAATATTTAAATTCAATTAAAATTATTATTTAAAAAAAAAAAAAAAAAAATGGGGGGTGGGGAATTAATTACGAGATTAAAGTCGTTATTAAAAATGGCGAAATAAATGACGACATTAAAGTCGTCATTAAATATGTCAAGAATTAATTATGAGATTGAAGTCATTATCGATTATGGCAAGAATAAAACCCCTCTGAATGGCCTGCATCCACCAATAACGCTCCAGTAGACCACTTTGAGCCATTCCCCCATCCACAAAAGCCCCTCTATAAATCCGCCTAGTTCTTTCTGGAAAAACGATGCATTTTGTCGCATGTTCTTTTTAACGTCCTGATACTTCTGGCAACCTGATTCTGATGTGCCAAAAGATAAAGTATCTCTATTCTAACCTGTTCTAAAGCACATTTCCATCAAATGCGTCAAGACCCTAATTTTTCAACTCTCGTCTTCTAAAACAGTATAGAATATTTAAAACTTCATTCTTGTAATTTAAATTTAATGCTTTTAATCCCGTAAATAATTCTCGCCATATTTAATAATGTTTTTAATCTCCTAATTCTCGCCATATTTCACGACTTTAATCTCGTAATTAATTGCAAAAAATACGTTTTTTTAAAGTGGCCCCTAATTCTCCGTCGTATATACAGTTATCTTTAAAAAAAGACAGAAAATTAAACATGTAAGAATGCATTATAGTTAATTTTAGTACCTGTAAAGATGTCAAATTACTTGCGTTTCCATGAGTTGAGTCACTGAGAACAGGGCAAAAAGGTTTGTTGCGGCCTGTGAATGGATGCAAATATTAAATTAAAATATAAAAAGATCTTCAAATGATAAAGCAGAAGAAAAAGGATTAAACTATACCATACGTCTTATACCTAAAGACAGCAGCTCTTCATCAAACTGGGACAGTGATGTAGAGGGAGCATTCACACCCTCAGATTGGCCTCTTGGGGCTACCAGGTCACAAAGCAGTTCAGCTGGAAAACGCAGAGAAGATGCTGAGGGTTCCTGCATGGGTTGAGAAGGGGACTGAAAGTCGATACCCACCAGATCGATGAGAACCTCTGACTGGTTTGTGCTTTCAGTGCCTATGAGCCAGATATGGAGAAGAAAGACAGAAAAACAACTGCACTTGAAAAATCTTAAATATTTTTTTTTTTCAAAACTCAACAAAAACACACACATATGCACTGAGACTGACAGAAGTGCTAACCTGTTAAGCTATATTATCATTACCGTTGGTTTATAGAGTGTAAATGTGTGATAACACAACTTTTACACAGGTCCATTTTGGGGACGCTAGCTCAGAGTCTAGAGATCTGTTATTTTTCCCTTGTCTGATATGCATCAAACATTCATATCAAACAGTATCAAAAATACATGATGGGGTAAACTAATGAGGCCATAAGAACAATTATCACCCCACTGTCAGATACATTTTCAGACAAAAAAATCAAATTCAATTAACAAAAAAAAAAAAAAAGGTTCCATCCATGGTGTGTTTCCACAGTAATCTACATACGCAAAAACACATGCTGTCAGTGATATTCGCTTTTTTGCGTCCCAGATGAGTGTGCCCATTGTCATTTTTATCTGTGCAGTCAAAGCTGAAAGAGCTGTTATTTCATTTCAGTTTCCCCATAACTGTCTTCCACTTATAATAAATATTTAGATATTTGTGTTTTTAAAAAATAAATAACAGAGGGAATAAATATACTACTTAGCTTTAACCATTTCTACAAAACCAAATTTTTCTTTTTTCTTTAAGAAAAAAAAAACGTATGAAATATTATGAGTCACATTCCGACAGTAGTTAGTCAAGCTAACCTTGATCTCTAATACAAACAAATGTTTTTTTTTTTTAAAGGTGGAACTGACTTGTTATCTCACCATCTCTGAATCACAAAAATTAATCTCTTCATTGACTTCACAAACACGTTTGGAAGGAGACTGCAGTAAAAGATTTCAGAAAAAAATATGTTTCCTTATTTTTTAAATATCTTTTTAAATTCTAAAGTAAGAACAGCTGCTAAGAGACTGGGGCAGCATTGTACTTCCATAGAGAGGCTATAATTACTTTTAATTATGATATTTATAATAAGATTTATCTATCATTAGTTTTATAATAAAGACTTTTTTAAAACTTTCATTAGGAGTGACGACGCATTAGAAAATGAATAAATTAAATACTAGCCCTAACCTGTTTGCAGTATGGCAACTGTATTTTAAGCAGTTGATCAGTTAGGAAACACAGTACTGGTACAACATATCATCCCTTACTGTGATGTTCAATTCTACCTTGTGTGACTCGGTTTTGCATCTGTTCTGCAGATTCAGCGTCTCCGTTGATGCTGTGCCCTTCCACAATTTTCTTATAGGAACCAATAACATGGGATAGGTCATCACTGGCCTGTAAGATTTCACCTAAAATTTGAATTTGAAATTCATTCAATCAGAAAGGAACACCAAAGAAAGATGTAACCAGTGTCAACAGCATCAAATGACATGTCTTCCTACCCAAGCTACTGTCATCATCCTCTGTCTCAGTGGCAAGCGTAAACACAGTTTGCCTGAGCTTGTCACAATCAATGTACAACTCCTGAAAATAAAGAAACGATGAAGATTCCTTTTAAAATCTCAATCACAACATGTTCATGCTTATGTATGAATTCATATTTTATCTTTAAAAAGGGTTTTACCCCCACCTTTCTGTTTCTGTCATGTCATGGTTTATCACCTCCAAAACATATGACCACACATATGACCAGTACATTCAATTGACAAAGAATGAGAAAAAAAATGATCTGTGAAGATTCTCAGTCATCCAGGTCATGGTCAAGCTTGAAAGTTCAGTAAGGCAACTGGATGTGAAGTTTTCCAGAAGACGTTTCGCCTTTCATCCAAGAGGCCTCATCAATTCTAACTGATGGTGGGGAGCACTGAGATTAATATACTGTAAAAAAATAATTAGTGAAAAAAAAAAAAGAAAAAACAATAGGTGGCTCTGATCCCTCTTACTGGATGGACCATTGAGGTCACCTGGGGGGTGTTAATGGTCATTAGGGGGTTCTGATAGGTCGTTGACTCCATCGTCAGGGTGGTTTCGGTCACATGCCTCTTTGAAGTGTAAGTCAGGTGAGGGCAGGTGAGAGGTGAACTTTCTGGGTATTGTTCCTAAAAGTGCTCTGTAAGTAGGTGACAGGTTGTGTGTAAGACCACCTCCTCTGTTAGGTGATGGTTCGTCCAAGTTAACAAAGATGACGTCCTTAACCACTCTCTCAAACCATCTGTCTTTCCTGGCAAAATTGTGGACGTTAATGTCCTAAAAAGAGTGTCCTTTAGCCTTCAAGTGTAGGTGAACAGCTGAGTCCTGTCCTATAAAATTGGCCCTCACGTGTTGAGCCATGCTTGTTTGGTCTCTCAAATGTACAGCTCTGTGCACTTTTCACTACACTGAATGGTGTAAACCAGGTTGTCAGTCTTTGGAGTGAACCAGTTTTTGTCTCAGGGTGTTGCCGGGTTTTAAATGCACAGGGATCTAGTGCTGGTTGAAAATCCTCTGAAGTTTTTCAGAGACCCCAGCAACATATGGAATGGCAATGTTCCTTCTTCAGTTTTCTTCCCTCTCAGCAGGCCTCTTGTTGGTTTTTAAAAAAAGTCCATCTGGGATAACCACAGGTCTTCAAGATTGTCCTGATATCTCCCTGTTCTATCATCTTCCCTTTGTTGGTGGTGGGAATTGTTTCTGCTCATGTCTGGAAAGTTCTAATGACTCCTGTTGTTCCAGTGGGTGGTGAGAGTCAAAACGGAGATACTGGTCGGTGTGTGTGGGTTTCCTGTAGACTTCTATGTTGAGTTGTCTGTCTTCAATGATGTGAACCGCGCAGTCCAGGAAGGCAAGGCTGTCATCTTTCACGTCTTCCCGTGTGAACTTGATGTTTCTGTCCACTGTGTTGATGTGATCCGTGTACGTGTTGATATCCTTGGTCTTTATTTTAACCCATGTGTCATCCATGTATCCGAATCAATGACTGGGTTTAGTTCCCATGTATGAATGTAGGGGTCTGCTTTCCACTTCACAGGAGAGCCCATCGCACATCCATGCTTCTGCCTGTAGAAATCATGGTTGAATTGGAAGTATGTGGTGGTGAGACTCAAGTCCAAAAGAGAACAGTTGTGGTCAGTGGTTAGGTTAGTCCTATCTGGCAGATTGTGGTCTTGAAGTAAGTGCATTCTTACTGTGGAGACTGCTTCTATGGTAGGGATGGAAGTAAAAAAAGATGTGACTTCTTAGGAAACCATGGTCTCATCTGTGTCCAGTGTCAGGTCCTTTATCCTGTTGGAGACGTCCTGTGAGTAAGCAATGTGATGTGGTGTGTTGCCAACCAAAGGAGCAAGGATGAAAGCAAGACATTTGGCAATGTTGTAAGTGACAGAGTTTATGCCCCCCCCACTCTTTTGTTACACCACAGTATATTAATCTCAGTGCTCCCCACTATCCATCATAACCTCTTGGATGAGAGGTGAAAGGTCTTCTAGAAAACCTCATATCCAGTTGCTTAACTGCTAACTGAACTTTCAAGCTCGATGAGAAAAATTGTTGAGGTTTGTCAATTAAATAACAGAAATTCATACCCTGAATTCCATAGCTTGGAGGAGAGCATTATCATTATTTCAAAATGTTAACTACTCAACAACAGTTATACTCCAAAGAACAGATAAATACCCTCAGCCAATATAAATGTGCAACTTTAAACAAATATGGGATGACACCGCTAGCATGTGCAAACTGAGCACCCTGGACTGCCCTGGGATTGTATGCATAGCATTTTGAATTTTAAGTATTTCCAAAAACTCAGTCCAGAAAATCCATCTTTTTAAAATGGTCATACAAGCCTTATCGGTCTTAACAAACCTTAATGAGCTCCTTATCGCCTTCAGTGGAGTTGTCTGGGCTGAAGTGAGCCAGCATCTCATTAAGGAGTTTGACACTATTGTTGACTGCCTCCAGTGTGCTTTTTTGCTTTGCAGTTCTCTGCATTCTCACCTCATCCTAAAATACAATACAACAATACCATAGCTGAAGTTAAAAGAGGAAAATTTGCATGAAAGAAAGCAGCCTGAAATCTGACTTGACTGACACACCTCTTTGACCATGTTCTTGATGAGGCGATTTGCCTCTTGCAGATCTTCGGGCTTTTTGCTCTTCAGAAGTTCAGATAATCTCTTAAAATAAGAAGAGAACAACTACTGATGGTGTATTTTCATCAGATCAAAATGCCAGCATCAAACCCATTCTAGTCTGTCATTCTTAAAAAAACCCAACTTAATCCATTTGTCAGCGGCTCTAAATGTTTTTTTGAGAACCAAACGATGACCCAATGAGTTTAGTGGTGGTGTCAGAGATGCACATATATTTTGCGATAACTCAACCACCATTTAAAATCGAGAGATAAAATATTTTCCAAGAAAATAAAAAACAAAGGTCATTAATTTATTCTTTTAAGGAAAGTCCTTGATTTCTTCCTTAGCTTTATACATACAACTAACTGATTAAACTAGTTAAATGGTGTATTTCTTTCCCACCGAAGAAGTTGTGCCTGTAGTCGTAGTTGTGATGGTTCATTTATTCAGGCTTGGCCTTTTACTTAGATTCTTTTGTTTTGTTTTTATCTGAGGTGGAGATTTGTACCCGTTTTCTCTTATCAAAATCCTAAAAAAATAAACATGCCCCCAAACAAATAAAATCAAACCTGTAATGGAACCTCATAAAACCCCTTTAAATAAGATGGCCTTTTTTTCCCTCTTCCCGCAACTGCTTTCCCAATGTATTCTTTTGGTTCTGAAGATTTCCCCTGGCGCCGAAAATGGCTGCCTCGGTGTTTTCACCAAAGCAAATTCCTTGTATGTGAAAACCTACTTGGCAATAAACCTAATTCTGATTCTGATTCTGATAAACTGAATATTTATAAAGATTTAACTGAATTTATTTAAACTGGTTACTTGTGAACTTTCACCAGTTCAGTAGAGCCAATTACCAATCATCTACCAAAGTTGGCCAATTCCTTAAATGTCGAAGGATCAATTGAAATGTCTACCATCTCATGAAATTATCCAGATCTAAGCTAAATCTGATTGGCTGTCGTCGATAGCAATGTATGAATTATTTCAAAAGGTATAATTTGTGAGGCCAACATGCATCCCTGCCTCTGATAGTTAGTCAATATATTAATAAAAGTAATAATTTCCAATTGGCATTGTAAGTTGGTATTCTGTGTTGTATTTGGTAAAAATCCACCGTTTTAACCCTGAGTCAGATGGAGAAACCAACTGAGTGACTGATTTTCTGCTTCTAAATTCAGATAAAAACATTTTTTATCTTTGGACTTAAGCACCTCAGCATGAAACTGTCCAACTAGTTACTGTAGATGGATTCTTGTAAAACATTGGGGAACCTTACAGAATCTATCCTTTCAATCATAAAAAGCTGGTGTTTAAGAGTGCCTTTCCTCAACTTCACAATATTGAAAAAATGAGGGACATCCGTTTCAAAATGTATCTGACAAGTCTCTAGCTGATCCAAAATGCTGCAGACAGAGTTCTTGTGAAAATTTGAAAACAAGATCATATTAGTAGTTTTAACTTCTCTTCACTAGGTCCCTGTTAAATTCAGAATGGAATTTAAAATTCTGCTCCTCGCATTACTTAATGATCAATCACCATCATATCTTGATGACCTCACAATTAGATATTTTCTAACAGTGCAATTCAGGGCATTCTTATGGAACCAGTTATGAGTACATGTCCAAGAAGTAGCCAGAGAAGGGAAAGCTTAACACTTTTTAGTCAGTGATACCTTACAATACCCTGATACATCCCATAGCTATGCTACTATAGGCCTAAACTGCAAGGATACCTCAAATGATTAATATTTCCTCCCTTCGTTCTCATTTTTCCTCCATGCACATGTGACATTGTTTTAAATAAGTTGTTTTTCACTTTCTCTGTTGGTATTCTCAAGATATTGTGTTTTTGTCCCTTTTTCTTGTTCCCTGAAACCCCAGCTGGTTGAGGTGGATAGGTCCCTTTCCATTAATCTGGTTTTGGTAGAGGTGTCTATTGCAAAGGATTTTCTATTTTTTCTCCAGTTAACTTTTGCATGCTCTGGATGGAGAATTGGATTAATGCTTAAGTTCCCCCTCCCCCCAAAAAAAAGTCAGGGAAAAAATTATTTTCTTGATATATGTACAAGTAACTGTGACAAAAAAAAACCAAAAGCACAAAAAATCAATTTTATGGTTCACATACCACCAAATGGTTTCTTACCTTGCTCTTTCTCTCATCATCAAACACAGGATTCTTGGGGCGGGGAGAAGGTGATGGTATTAACGTGGCATCTGCTGAGATTTCTGGGTCAACTAAAACAATACCTAAAATGAAAAATAACAAAACAAAAGTACATCATGGTAATAACTCAAGAATACACAAATACACTTTAAGAATAATGGCAAGAACGGTTACACATGCAGGTTGATTTAAAGTGTTGGACCCACCCTGTGACTTCAGCATTTGATAAGCCTCACAAATCTTTGTTTCATCTGGTAGAGACACTGTCCATGCATACAACATCTCAATCACTTTCTTTCTCACTTTTTCTGACACTCTTTCTCCAAGGTACTGGGGTGGGAAAGAAAAAAACAACAAACACACTTCTAAAAACAACCCCAAACATCAGTTGAGATAAAATCTTCATTATATAGGTTTTCAATTTGTATGTTGCTTACTTTGGGGGACACCACCTTAATTAATTCATTTAAAAATTTAAACTTCCCAACTTCGCTGTGAAACCGTCGGCCACAGTTCTTCATGCATGCTTCCAAAACCTACAGAAGATTAGAAAACAAAAAATAAATAAAAAATCTGTTCGCTTCGCTTTCATTTTCATGTTTTGGAACATTCAAATAAGAAATGCAGTGAAATAACTAAGGTACGGACTGTCAATCCCTGGAGCGCTTCCCATTCTTGAGGGGACTGAATCTTGTGTGCCAACAGTCTGACCGATATTTGTGGGCTAAATCACATAAAAACAAAGGATGTAACATAAAGCTCACAGAATTTAGCACAACACATGATCAGTTTGATTATATGTTAAATCACTTGCGAGGGGTTCAACGTGGAAATACCCTTCTAGCTCCTTGTTGATTTGGTCACAGAATCCAATTATATACTCCCAGTCTTCCTGTCTGTTAGAAAGGTTGGTGGCTTTATCTGAAAGAAAAAAGATACTGCCTTAAAACGAAAATTCGCGTGCACGTTTACCATAACTGTTTAATCCATGTCCTATCTCACCTCTAACATTTGCTTCGTTGCACAGTAAATAAATGTTAACGCCTGAGTATGTGGTTGACGACGAACAAGGTACTTCACTGACCAGTTTGTATGGGATCTTTTGGACTTCGGAAAGGTTTGGTGCTTGTGCAACATTATAATATTACTGCTAAGCCTACCGTTGGAACAACAACGACACTATAGCTTACTCAAACGTAGGGTAAATATATAAGCAGGGAATATTTAAGTTGAATGTCAGCCTTGATAAGGGCGTATTAAATTCCCTCAGTTCCTTTTAGCTGTGTTAGCCTCTTCTTACAACACGGATCACTTTGCACTGTAGTATTCAGACACGGTGATGTCACGTCAATCCAACAAATTATTAGGAACTATACAACACAACAGCACAAACCAGCACGCTTGTAAAATGGAAATGTGACGTGAGAAAACAGTAAAGAATGTACTTACTAAGCCAAGACTCCAATGACTCCCCATCTTCCGCCATATTTGTTCTCTCAGAGCTAAACAACGCGTGACTTGTGCTGCATTCACGTGTGTCCAGACAAATAAGCCTCTGTGCTTATTTCATGGACGACAGCGTCGAAAAGTAAGTTACACTCTGAAGAGGTGCAACAGAAGACATGTCTTTCACTATACTGTTAGAAATATTCTTAGATTATATTTCAGTGATTGATTAATCGAAAAGTTATTCACTGTGTGAAATTTATTTTGTTGTCTTGAAATGTATTACATTTGTGTGGGGAAGGGTGGTTTTGGATGGGGCATTTTTCTTTGTATAAAAAGAAAATCTGAAAGTAAAATACATTCAAACAAATAATTAGATACGTTTTTGATTTAATGGAGTTTAGTTAATCTGAAAACTCAAAGCTTTTACCATACAAACTGTGTGGTTCCAGTAGTTCGGTTAATTCCAATCCTTGGGTTGATTCTTTTCCTTCATCTCACAAAACATGTTGTTCTGGGGACGTGAACATGCGAAAGCCTATGAGATTTGTGGACTTCCCCAGAGAATGCATAATTTAATACTTAGGTGTTTTGCACATGGTTCTTTAAACCAAAAAGAGGTCCATTTGTTCTTATTAAATTTCTTAGGACACCCTGATCTGGATTACTGAGAATGTACAGTAGCAAGTAAATAAGCCCAAATGAAAAGACATGTAACATATAAATTCAAGGCTTGTTTATTCTCCTATTGTCAGGAATTCTCTACTCAACTGTGACCCCACTTCCATCTCTGTGACTGACACCAGAATCATTTCTGCCATCATCTTAATTTCCATATACGTAAAAATGAAGTTAAAAGGCTTTGGAAGTGTTCTTTATCAAATTCCATGCATTCTCACACAAAAATATATCACATTTTCTCCAAAAATTAGTGTTTCTCACCAAGTTATGCACAAAACAGGATTTCTTTCTAAATTCACAGTAATGAATAAAAACTAGATATACCGTAGTTAGAATTGGGCTATAGTTACTCGTTTTAGTATTGTATGCTATAACATAATCCATGTAAATGACTGATTGTCTTAATCCTTTTAGAACTACCGTATACTCTTGTGTTAAACTCTCTGGCAGTGCCCACAGATTCTCCTTCTCTCTCTGTTACAGTAAACTTCAAGGTCAACATTCACACACACACTTTCCTATCACATTCCACTGAAATCTGCATGAATTAGGGGCTGGCCTGTTCATGTTCAGAGGTAACTGGCAATTAACACTCGGTTGCGTCCAGCCGTCCTACGGCCCAGAGGATAAATGTCCATCACACTTTAAAAACATATCATAGTTTCTAACATTAATAACAAATGAGTGTCTTTCATCTAGTTATAAACAAAACTGGATTTTTGTCTAATTCATATTATTGACTCAAAACTAGATCAAATTACATTGTAAGTGTTCTTTATCTCATCCCATGTCCCAGAGAAAATTTCAGTTGCACTGACTTGCTGTCGAATGATTTCCACATCAATCAAATAATTAGTGTGTCTCACAAAGTTTTGCACACAACTGGATTTTTTTTAAACTTCAAAATAATGAATCCAAACTATTTAAACTCACTTTGTAAGTGTTCTTTATCAAATTCCATGCATTCTCACACAAAATCTCAGCTGTACTGACTTGCACTTACAGCTGCAAATCAGTACTGCAAGTCATTAATCTAATCTCAGTTGGATTAATGACAGAAACTGTGAGATGTTTTCAACTTCGTGTTAAATAACACTTTGAAAGTCATTTTACATAGTGTAGGTGTGTCAATATGTTGCACATATCACAAATGATTAATTTACTAAAAATTATTTTGGTGAACATTCTCAAAACCTGTGCAAAATATTTTCTGAGTAAAATCAGTATTAAATTGAATATGTTGTTTTTTGTTATCTGTCACACAACAACGCAATAGTGACGTAGCTCTACCTGCCAGTCAAAACTCAGGATATTTTGCACTGGTAAGATGTATCGTGATGCTCTCTGTCTGTTGGCTAAGCTACCATCATTTACTCTGTTTTAAACTGAATATAAAAGTAACCATATCATTACTAACGCACTGCTGAATATATTTATGCTTGTTTTGGCCAGTGAAAATCGCTGTTTAATTCGTTAAATTTAACGGAAATTTTTCACCCATTTACATATCTTATGATCCGCTTCAGGAGACTGAGAGAGCATCTAACAGCCTGTCTGTGTGTACTGACCGTGTTCCCCGCTACTCTTATAGGTGTGTTATGGTATAAAATTGTTCATCTGGTGAGTATGTTTTACTAAAGGACTGCATAGTTTAAGTGAAAATAAGACATATATTAAAAGTGCAACTTTTTTTTCCTCATTCAGTGATTATTCTTGTGTTATGCACTCGGAGTGTGTAATATTTTGACTGTTTTGTTAGCTTTTACTCAATATTTCACATGTTACAAGGGCAAACATTATTTTGGTGTGTACATTTTATTTACAGAGGTATTTTCTTTATATATATTATGACGAAAAACCCAGGAAGCTTTTGCACTGGAGACTGAGAGAACATCAGCGTGTGTGTGTGTGTGTACTGACCGTGTCCCCCGCTACTCCTATAGGTGGAATACATGTGCAGATCCTGATGCCTGGTCTGAGTGATATCCTTCATTTTAAAGCAACCAGATTAAAGTTGCTACACTATGTTGTATTTATTACTGTGAAGTTAGAGCAAAATCCTTTTCAATGCATATCTCAGTGAAAGCCACTTATTTTTGGATTTATACTGGAAAGTGTGATATCTTTTGAATGCAAGTCAGTACCAGTGAGATTTTGTCTGACAAGGCATGGAATGCGTTAAATAACACTTACAGAGCAGTTATATAGCTAGTTTTGAACCTTCACTTTGAAGTAACACAAAAATCCTCTTTTGAGCATAACTCAATGAGGGACATTCATTTTTGGATCTTTTGATATGTGATATCTTTTGACAGCAAGTCAGGACCAGTGAGATTTTGTCTGACAAGGCAGGGAATGTGTTAAATAACCCTTTGAAATACATTTTACCTAGGGTGTATTAATTACTGTGAAGTTAGAGCAAAATCCTGTTTCATGCATATCTCAGTTAAAGACACTTATTTTTACTTATTTATACTGGAAAGTGTGACAGTGTTCCTTGACAGTCCCCACAGCCCAAAAAAGTAAGGACACAAGTAAAAAGTAAAAAGTGAGGTAAGTTAAAAAACCTTCATGCGATTAAGCAGTGGCCATAAATTTTCCCAGGGCACTCTTTTACAAATTGAACTTAAAAATCAATTTTTATTGATTTGATAAACACTACATTGTCTGGGTAGTCACCATTTAAATTGTCATGTATGAAATGTGAGAGAAAAATCATGTCAAAAAGAGTACACCCAATACTTAGACATGGAATCTTTTGCTTTGAGGCAACATGCCTGTATCCTACCTGTTTCTCTACCCAAAGTTTGTGACCATATTGAGGGTAGGAACGTAGATCGACCAATAAATCGATAGCTTTGTTTTTAAGTTCAGCTCTCTGCATTACTGCCGACACCGCTTGATCCGCCTGTTAATCTTCCACTCCATTTTACCCCCATTTGTAACCAAGACCCTGAGATACTTCAACTTGACCACCAGGGGAAGGACATCCCCCCTGACCCGGAGGAGGCACTCTAGCCTTCTCCGGTAAGAGACTATGGTCCCGGAGGCTCTGATCCTCATCCCAGCCGCTTCACACTATGCTGTGACCTGCTCCAGCGAGAGTTGTAGAATGTGACTTGTTGAAGCCAATGGGACCACATTGTCTACAAAAAGCGGGGATGCATTTTGAAGACCACTAAGACACCTTCACCACCTTGGCTGCATCTAGAAATAATTTATTATTTATTTATATATTTATTTTCAATAACTCCACATTCTGATTTTGAGAGCATTTCTTATGTGGTAGTATGCATGTATGAGGAGTGACCAATGATGTTGAGGGACTTTTGCAATTGATCATAAAAGACTTGGTAAAATAAAATCTCTCCAAACTTTTAAGAGACAAAACAAGATGAAAAAATAAGGTTTGTGGTTTTGCACTTCATATAAGCAAAATACAGATGCTCTCAGAGCTTTCAGTGAATATATTATTAGCAACGAAACTCGTGGTATAAATTTTAGTTTATGGACCCAATGTACTGTAGCTAAATGTCTGTATGCTATTATTGAAATGTGAAGAAGACATTCAGAAGCTGAACTTTTTTCAAAATAAACAAAAAACGATGTACAAGGATTAAAGACACATTGGAAAGATGAGTAGAGTAGATGCACAGATGAGTAGATGCTGAGGGGTAAATGAATAGTAGTATAGTTTACCATTGTATTAAAATGGAAATGAATGCTTAATTATTCAACAAATTACACCGTGTCATATTTCTCTTACAAAATCATTTTCAAGATAATACAAAGACAAAGCAGTTTACTTTCTGCAAATTTGCCGGTCCGACCCCAAAAAGAAGGGCACACTGTGCTTTGCACTCCATCTCCTCAAGGTGAGATACCGAAGCGTCCGGGTATTATCCATTTTACTCAACTAGTATGGAAAATGATATAGAAAACTATAAGTATAATTGTATAGGAAACTGAAGTGCCATATTGTGGAGGTTCCTCCACAATTAACCCAGTGTTAGTATTTGTTTCATGCCATACATTTATAATTTCATTTGTTTGTGTGTCTATTGTTTTAAGTTTACTATTATGGGTGCACACATTTAGTAAACGCCTTTGTTCTGTAATTATTAATTATTTGTTTGAGTTGAAGGGCTGGCTGGGAAAGAGGACTGATGGAGAGATGAACCAGGAAGTGGAACAAACCATAAGGTTGCTGGAAGGTCCTGAAACTAGAATCAGAACTAAAATTGTCTAATGAAACAAATAGAGCTAGAGATTAGTATTTTTCTAAGTCAGAAGTCAATAGCAGAGCAAAGCATCATAAAATAATCATTTGATGTGGTTTACAATTGCAATGAGAAAACCATGTGGGATGAAAGCCGTACATTCTGTATATTGTAACTT